TGGAACCATAAAGAGTTATCAAGTGTGGAGGCAGGTGAACATGAACCTGGCATCCTCAAGGAATAGCCACCATTGCTGAGCTTTAAGAAAATTATCCAAAGATCATTCCATGCTATCAGCCAACCCACCTGTTGATAGATGAGTTCCACCAGTTCTTGCAAAGCATCATCTGTTGTAACCCAACCATTCAGGGTCTCTGCAAACTGTTCAATTTCAGTTTCAAAACTGCCAGGTTGCTCTGTAAGATGATTCAAAAAATCCTGAACGTATTCTGATAGAGTGGGATAATCCTCACAGCCATCCTCATAGGATTCCTATGGATCAAAAATTAAAAATTTTCTTAATTCATGTAACAAACAAACAAGAGGTGGCCTGTCTTTAGCACAAAATGACTTAAAAATTCTTCACATGATAAAACATGTTATTCCTCAATAAATTTCACTGAGCTATCTTTTTTCCTTGCCTAATATCTGAAATATAACAACAGAAAGGCTTCCATTTAGCTAGATAGGAAATTATCCTCTGATTGACAGACTTTTCTTTTTTTTAAGAGACAGGGTCTCACTCTGTTGCTCAGACTTGGTGTTATGATTAGAGCTCACTGCAGCCTTGAACACCTAGGGTCAATTGATCCTCCTGCTTCAGCCTCCTGAGTAACTAGGATTACAGGCGTGTGCTACCACACCTAGTTAACTTTATTTATTGTTTTATGTAGAGATGGGATCATTCTTTGTTATCCAGGCTGGTCTTGAACTGCTGGGCTCAAGCAATCCTCCCACTTCAGCCTGCCAAGTAGCTGGAATTATAAGCATGAGTCACTGCACCTAGCTTGGCTCTTAGCAGGTTTATAAGATGGCCAAGGAAAAAAGTTCAAACCAATATTACACTATGATGCCACTATCAAAACTATGCATCTGATTAATGAATTAAGTAAGATCTGGGATTTGCTTCAAACTGAGAAGGAAAGGATGGACCAGGAATATAAGAACAAGAATGGCCACACACAGCTTACTGTTGAGGCCATGGGGATTTGTCATACTATTCTCTGTACTCTTATAGATGCTTGACAACTTTTAATAATATATTGAAAAGAAAAAACCTAGCTAGGTTTATTTATCTGTTAATCCCCAAGGGCAGGGAAATGCATGAGGCTGTTAGAGTAACTGTAAGATTTCATCAAGGTATAAACCAGAGATGTCCAACCTTTTTTGTTTTTTGCTGTACATCAGAAGAGTAAGAGTTGTCTTGGGTCACCTGACAAATACACTAACACTAACAAAAGCTGCTTAGAAAAATGAAAAAAAGTCCTTGTACACTTTTCATGATATCTGATACCACAGATAAGCAAAAGATATCCTCACAAAATCAGCATGAAGCCCATGGGCTACACGTTGACACTGCTGGCACTATAGGCTTTTTGATGGCTACATCCAGGTTTCTAATAAACCTTGAGAGCAGCAGCAGTTTCCAACTAATGTTTCCACAATTGTAACCTCTAGAGGTTCCCAACTTTTTAATTAACAGCAGGAGGCTGATGAGTTTTACAAAAATTATTAGACCAGAGCTTTTATATTCTCAATGCCTAGAATACCATCCAAAGCATTAAGTTTCACAGTTATGACCTAGTAACAATATACTGCCCAACTCCAAAAGGAGTCGAATGAGAAACTATATGAAAAAGTTCTGACAATAGTACAGAAGAATTTTGTGAAGGGGTTAAGTCCTAAAGTTAATGAATGCATTAAAACAGTCACACACGGCAGAAATACCGTGAGAAAAGCTCCATGTTACAGACAAACACAGTCTTAGTACATAGACTAACACATCCAGTTGTCTAGCAGTTCCTCCATTGTTGGTCTTCTAACCACCATTTAGAGGTCATGTTGCATAATTTCTATATCTCTTTAGACATTGAAGTGATACTTAGCACAATTCCATGTATTTATGAAAGGCACGCAGGAAATAAAACCAGTTGTAGGAATAGATTAGCACACCCTTATGCTCAAATGGTGTTCATAGAGCAGAAGGGCAGATAAAATCACATACATTAAATTGGTCTGATTACACATTTGAAATTAGTTAAACATTCTATTATAACACAGGGTATTAATGTTGGTCAGCTACAGTGGCTTATGCTGGTAATGGCACTTCGGAAGGCTGAGCCAGGAAGATCACTCAAGATCAGGAGTTAAAAACCAGCCCAGGCAAATTAGGGAGACCCTGTCTCTAACAAAATGTAAAAAAAATTAGCTGGGGGATGGTGCCTGTGGCTTAAGGAGTAGGGCGCCAGCCCCATATACCGGGCGTGGCAGGTTCAAGCCTGGCCCTGGCCAAAACTGCAAACAAACAAACAAACAAACAAACAAAAATTAGCTGGGTGTACTGCCATGCAGCTGTAGTCCCAGCACTTGAAAGGTTAAAGCAGGAAGATTGTTTGAGCCAGGAATTCAAGGTTACAGTGAACTATGATTCTGTCACTGTACTTAAGTCTGCACAACAGAGTGAGACCCTGTTTCAAAAAAAAAAAAAGTTAATTTTGAAATTTGCTATTCATAAACATTACAGTTATGACTAAGGATTAAATAAGCTAGTGAATAAATCTTCCTAGAATGCTGACTAATACACAGTAAAACACAAAGTGTTCAAATTAGTAACACTTAAATTTCCAGGAGAATATTGAAACATATTTCAAATGCATGAGCCATGCACTTATACATAAAGGGGCTAATAGCATTCAAAAATAGAATGATATAAAGCTCTACTTGTTGGCACCTAGGATGGTACCCTAATAGCCACCAGCTGTACATATGTGATGGACAACACAATGACTTAGCGTGCATCTCATTTAAGTTTTTCTAGGTAAGCACTACTATTCCCCCCTGCATAGAAGAAAGAGGCACAGAGCAGTCAAAACTGAGTTGAGAACCTACTAAGTAACAAAGACTGTTTTGGGGAGAGGAGAATCAATAAAGCAAACAACGTCCTTCTCTCATGAAGTTCATACTCCATGATTGAACACACATTTAGCCTCTGAAATAAACCACGGAAAGAAGTGGTCAGGGAAAAATTCAAGAGTTAACATCTAAACAGATGAAGAAAAAAAATTCTAGCCATACAAGCATCTGAGGAAAGATATTCTATGTATTAGTCAAATGCAATATATAGACCCTGAGAAGGTAGGTACTTGGCCTAATACCTTTGAGAAAGAAGAACCAGAACACAGAATCCAAGGATGGGCAGCAGCTACTGAGGTTAATGAGACAGAGAAGGACATCATGTAAGGTCTTCAGGACCACACTACGCAGCAGGCTCTTAAGGCAGTGGGAAAACAGGAGTGAGGGAGAGCTTGAGCAAGGAAGGACCACGAACCAGCTTAATTTGTACACGGCCATACAGTTAGAAGAACTGAGGAACTGAGCACAAAAGCCTATAATTTTATTTACTTTTTTATTTTTTTCATGGCCTGGACAGTTCAAGAAAGCCTATACTTTTAATCTCTATACCAGTGGTTCTCAACCTTCATAATGCTGCAACCTTTTAATACAATTCCTCATGTTGTGGTGACCCCTAACCATAAAATTAATAGCAAGGAAAATAATTTTATGGTTAGGGTCACCACAACATGAGGAACTGTACTAAAGGGTCACGGCATTAGGAAGGTTGAGAACCACTGCACTATACTCAGTAACTGACAAAAGCTTAAAAACCAACTTTGACATTAACAAGGAAGTGGTTAAATACATTACTGTGTGTATAATAGAATGTTATATAGACATTTAAGAAAACAAGATATTCATATATTATCATAACAGAAATACATCCAAGATAGTGTGTTAAATGAAAAGAGTACAGTATCATATGTTAGTACAAAAAATATTTACTGTATAAGCAGAGAAAAATTTCTGGAAAGACAAACAAAGGACAAAAGGACTTAGCTCTGAATTGAGGAGATGTTCTTAATAATAACCTTTTATTACAAAATTTTGAAAGCAGGTAAGCATAACAAATCTACATTGATTTTAACTTACATATGTATAAATTTCATGACTAAAAACTAAGTTTTTGATATATAGTTGACAGTTGTACCGATTTGTAGTATCCTACTAGTATGAATGATAATGAAAGGTTGTCTATACGTTCCAAGTAAAGGAACTAATTTCCTTTCTTTTTTTTTGCAAACACAGTCT